TTTCTACGTTATTTATATCCACGCGTTGGTATTTACGAGTACTACAACTTTCATTTAGACCCCGTCCGCTAATTCTCATTCTATCTCAGATTTACAAATCTGTATCGAATTTATCGCGCTCGAAGAGTAGAGACTAAGTTTCGTCCATATCTCTTAACGTATGAGCTCTATTCTTGACGTTCTTTATATCCACTTGTTGGTATTTACGAGTACTACAACTTTAATTTAGACTCCATCGGCTAATTCTCATTCTATCTCAGATTTACAAATTTGTATCGAATTCGCTGCGCTCGAAGAGTAAGGACTAAGTTTCGTTCTTATCTTTCGCATACGAGCTCCGTTTTTTACTGTATTTTTATCGTTGAGCTCTTATTAATTAGATCTTCAATTCTCGGTTAGATTGTTTTGGCTAAAAGTCGACCGATCTAAAATTCGGTTTCCGGGTTGTGCACTGCTATGCTAAATCTTAGAAAAATCATAACTTCCTCATACGAAGTCAGATTTGGACGTTCTTTTTATGCATGCTCTCAGTTTAACGTATACTACGACTTTCGTTTAGATCACCAAGGCTAAAAGGTATTTTATCGTAAATTCACTTTTTAAGATTCCTGGTGTCGTGTCGGTTTTGCCGCAAAACTTCGACATGTCATAACTTCTTCGTTATAAGTCGGATTTCAGTGTTCCTTATATATTCGAAATCCTTGTTACGACTACTTCAACTTTCTTCCTAGATATTGGGTCTATCTATTAGTTTATTTTTGACACTTATTTTTATTACTATTTTATTACGTCATTATAAATAAGTATAATGCACATAAAATCACATAAATCACATAATACTCAAGTAATTATTCTTTTATTACTTCAAAATAGGTTACAATTGTTGACCCCAACTATTACATCATCATAGTAATGCTTAGCCAGAAACACGGGCGTTATAGAATATAATCATGCAGATCTATTCCACACTCAACATATCAATGTGTAGCAGGATATCAATCAAATGGGTCGGCCTTGGTGCCTTCAACCCGAAAGTACATTGAGGAAAACTCACCTCACAGTCTGAACAATAGCTGATGAGGTCCCGACTCCGAATCTCAACTCTAACCGTCACCTATTCACTCAAATGACCAATTCTCAAACACCATTCAAATTACCCAAAATACCTCTTGGTCAAACTTAGTCAACGTCAAAGTCCAACTGGTCAAACTCAACAAGTCAACTGAGTCAATCCAGCTGAGTCAACCCAGTCAAGTCAACTCAGCCGAGTCGACATAGAACGCGTACGCAGGGCGTACTCCAAAGGTACGCGGGGCGTACTCAAACCTTGACCGCAAACGGGCGAGTTGACCTCATACGCGCTACGTACGCAAATTACGTAGGGCGTACGCCCAGTCTTCTCAAACTTTATTAAGAGCTTAATGCCTTAAGCTCTTACGTCCAACTTTCATATCCAAGGCTAAATCATCCTCAAGAGTCATAAAGTTTCCAACTTTATGACTTTGCATGTCCCATAAGTGCTTAACTCAACATATTAATACATTAAGACCTTCTAAAGAATGCATGGAGTAAAACCAACCATTAAGACCCCATTTTTATGATTCAAGACCCTTCCTAAGGTCTGAAAGGATGACTTAATGGGTCAAGAACATTTCAAGCTCAAGAATCACCATTTTGGGACCAAAAAGTGTCTTAAAAGAACAAAAATCTTGATCTACAAGATGGAGTGGTAAAGTTGCAAGCTTTATACCTCCTCGAGGTTGCAATCAAGGATGAAATCCTAGATCTAAAGTGCTCTCAAGATCCAAGTTCTTCTCACCACCTTTTTCTTTCTACAAGAACACTTTTAAACACTCTAAAGGCTCCAAAATGCTCTTCTTCTCTTAGGGTTTGCTTGGGGATCGATTTCACAAAAAGAGGTTGAATAAGAATGAGAAGTGAGACTATAATGATTCTTAAATATGAGCCAAACCCTAAAAATTAGGGTTTTCATGATCCTCACATACGCTCGGCGTACTAAGGCGCGCCCTAGTACGCTTAGCGTACACACGTACACTCAACATACTCCCAAATTCTAAAATTATCATAATGCCACCATGGGCCCTTTTGAACTCTTTCTTTTACTTAGGGACCAATATGCAATAAATCTCAATATAAGAGTCAACAATGCAAGTACCTAAAAACAATATTTTACATTATGCATATAGTAGCTTATACGCAGGGCGTAGACCATTGACTTGGACCATTGGTTAAATTAGGTTTTGAGCATAGTTTAAAAAGGGTAGTTTCCTGATTAATGATTACGTACTTTTTGTTCATGTCTACCATGTGGGAGCTATTGTATTTAGCTTTTACATGTGAGGTGAATCTTCTCACTATATTTACCCGTGTGGTATTTATGTCTGTGACCAGTTGGGTCTTAAGTGCTTATTGTTGTTATGGATGAATTGAATTTTATTGTTGATAACTTGGGATTTTTGAGAATCCCGAGGGTTGTTGATAACCCTTAGAACATGCTATTAATCCATAGGGCGTGCAGTTAGCCCACTGGGATTGCTGATAAACCACAATTGTTTATTATGTTGTATTGTATGGATATTTTGGGATAGACTCACTAAGCTTTATGCATACAGTTGTGGATTAAATGTGTTTCAGGTACTTTGGATGATCGTAGGAAGGCAAAGGCTTGACTGTAAACTCCAGCTCGTAGATTTATGATTTTCATATTTTGATACTCTAATTTAGATGATTGTATTGATATACCTGGGATTTCTTGTAGCTTGGTTTTTATGAAACTTGTGGTTTTATATAATAAAAATGAAATTTTTTTTGTGGTAAAAACCTGTATGTTACATTCCTGATGCCAAGTAACTCATCCCCCCTCTCATTCGCAAAACCCGTCGCTCACGACATTCTGCAAGATTTATAATTGTGTATCGTCACTCTTTTGCAAAAGCACTTTCCCTCTCGTCGTATCAACATCTTCTTGGAAAACTAGTCACCAAAAAACCTCAATGTCAACCACTTTTTGAACGGGTTCAAGTGGTAGGAACCATAATCATTTGCATGCTTGATGGTGAGGAAATATTTATTCTTTGGAGGCTGCCTAATTCTTGTGTTGACCTAATGGGTATGCTTAATTATACAACATGGAGTAAAAAGACTAAGAAATTGTGGTTTTCTTTAGCCTACCCCACCCTTTGAATGATCTGAAAAGCTACGAATTCTATTGTTTTCAAAATTGAAAAACAGGCGATTATGATGACAACTAATGACATTAGTCTAAACACTTTCAATTGGATCAAATGTAGGTCTAATTGTAATTCTATTGTTTATAGGCTTGGAATTCCTCTCCTACTTTAGATTGTTTCTTGTAATTTTGCCCAAGCTTCTTGCTTGAGTTATTGCTGTTTTTCTATGCTAATGAAATGCGTATTGTTCCAAAAAAAACCCATTATCATGTTATTAAATTACAACTTTTCCTTTCCATATATTAACATAACTAGGGATAGGCATGCATGAATGCGGGCTGAAGGATATTGATTTTAGAAATAGGTTTTTAAATTGTACTTTGAAATCAATGAAGGACTCAACCTTTTTCAGCTCAGCATCGAAGATATTCAATGAACAATTATCGAAGTTTTGTGAGGATAGGAACGCATGAATGCGAGCTCGATGATATTGATTTTAGAAATAGGTTTTTAAATTGTACTTTGAAATCATTGAAATACTCGACCTTTTCAGCTCGGTGGCGAAGATATTTAATGAACAATCATCAAACTTTTGTGAAGTACTCGACCTCTCGAACCACGAAATATTTTTAAGCCCACCGAGTATTTTTTCTTAGTTTTTATCCAACGACCAAAGTTTTTATCCCTTAGTCATTTTTCTCGACGCCGAACATCTTTGGTCTCAACACCGAATATATTCTACGACTCATTGCACTGAAACTGAAAAAAAAAAAGTAAAAAAATGCTATAATGGACATGAAATTAAAAGTTAAATGTTATAAATGGAAAAAATAAAACTAAAATGTTATAATCAACTTTCACATGAAAGTTGAATTATATAATCAACAATAACATGAAAGTTAAATGCCACAATTGAAAAAAATGAAACTAAAACATTAGTGTCCTATGCTCTGCATTCTAAACATAAAATTAAAAAAAAAATAGTCCTGGAAGTATATAAGGGTCGATAGTCCCATATGATGTTAGATTTGATGCCCACTTGAAATTCCCCAACATATATCAACAATGAAACTTAAGTGATAAAAGCTCATTAAATAATATGTAGATGCTAAAACTTAAGGAAAAATATTGTCAGATCTTTGCTAGGTCTTGTAACGTCCGCAGATTCGGGCTAGTCAATTAATATATAATAAGCGGTAAAAATGATTCTTTGATAGACTATTATTTAGGGTAAATAATCTCAGCCAAAGTTATAGTATATTTGACAAGGATTCCATACATATAAATAACGTTGAAATCCGGTTTCGTATGAAGAAGTTATGCTTCTTCGAAGTTTCATAATTAAACTGACATGACTCTGCGTATCGTAGAAAGTGAAATTTTGATAGATTACTTATTAGCCTAAGTGACATAAACGAAAGTCGCAGTGGTCATAAAACCGAGAGCGTACATATAAGGAACGTCCAAATCTGACTTCTTGAGATGAAGTTATGATTTTTGGATGTTGCAGCGTAGCAGGGTATGATACAGAAACCGAAATGGAAATCGATCGGTTGTTAGGAAAACAATCTAAACAAGAATTGAAGATCTCGTTAAGAGGAGTCTGTCGATATACAGACAGTCGAGAATGGACATCAGACAAGAGAGTTATGAATTTTTAACGGACTTTAACAGTCTAAACATGTTAAAAATATAACTTTAAAATAAACTCAAAGTTAGCCGACAAAGTCTAAAGGAAAGTTGTAGATCTCGTCGATAGCTATGCATGGATATAAAACACGTCGAAAACGAAAATCGTATGAAGAAGACATGCCACAAGATTGTAACACGTGTCACCACGAGATTGTGACACGTCATCATCCGACAACTTGCACGATGCTCCCAGACAAGGTGCACAGCGTGCACCTGCTTTTTTTTTGTATATAAATAGCAGCAAAAGATCAGATCGTTTCCACACATTTCCTCAATCTCTCTCTCTCTCTCTCTCTCTCTCTCGAGTTTCTATCAATATTAGCCCCATTTTTCCTTAGTTTTCAGTCTTCGGCGAAGCCCTGCGGTGTCAGATAGTCGGCGATTAGAAGCTCTCAGGTCAGAGTTATGCCCACTTAGTTTTTGGTTTTCATCAGAAAGCTCTGTAAGTTAAGTTACACTTAGTTTATTTAAGTGTAACTTTTAATTATAGTCATAGTCGTTATTATGAACCTATAATTACGATTTATCAGTGATTCCAAGTCATTATACTGATTGATCTACTTATAGGGATGATGTCTAGGGTGGATTTAGTGAAGTGTTTAAAGAGGGATTTCCAAACAGTATACTCTGTATACCAAACGGACCCTACCTTCGATATGATCCTACATGGTTGTTCCTTACTTGATAGATCTTGATGTAGACATTGAGATTAGTGAGGAATCTAGACTATCATTAGTCGCTAAGAAATATAAGACTAAGACTTAGTAATATGAACCTAGGTCACGTCAGAAGAAAAGCTAAAGTATCAAGGCGAAGTTCTGCCCAAATTCCGAGACATCCACTTTTATCAGGTGAGTCCACAGCCCCTTTAATGAACAAGATTTTAATACAAGTATTAAGTAAAGTATTAAATATTTGTTAGAGTTTATATGTGAGCTATATGCTTATTGCCTGGAATATGTGTTAAGAACATATTTAATAATATATGATATGTGAACCAAGTATAGTTATATATATATATATATATATATATATATATATATATATATATATATATATTATTTCATGATAATAATGATAGAAGTATCATTAGAGAAAAGGATAAAGTTTTATTAATACCTAAGTACTCTATATACACTGTAGTATGATAATGTTGCCTAAGCAGAATTGGTACTAGGAGTTGTGCATTGTAGTCTTACCAAGAGATAATATAAAGACTTGCAAAAAACGCAGTGTTTTAGAGTGGTGGTGATAGAGAACAAAAGGAAGCAATAGAGGTGAGAGGCGGGGGTATTCGTTTGTAGCGTAATTCGAAAAGGAAAAGTGAAATACAAGTGGCAAAATCTAAGAAAAATGTGCAATGACTATGCAGTTAAACAACCGGTAATTAATAAAATAACATTAAATAAATATACACAAAAGACTGTGGCCAAAACATAAAGAATAAAAATAAGGGAGAAAAAGTGACAAACCTAAAACAGTTGTGGTCAAAGTCCAAAGGTCAGAAAATAAATTGTTCCTAAATCATATATATATATATATATATATATATATATATATATATATATATATATACCACGATCGGGTGACAACTCTTATTTCGGTGAGAAATCGTGAGGAAACCTTAAAAAAATTGAAAAAAAATACAAATCAAAAAATCGAGCATAATACTATATCAGAGAGAAAAAAAAATTTGGAATTTTTTTTTGGATGTAATACTATGCTCGATTCAATTTTGGATCATAAAATAAAACAATTTTATGATCCATGATTCAATTTTAATGATCCAAATTTTTTTTCTCTCCGATGTAGTACTATGCTCGATTTTATGATTTGTAATTTTTATTTTATTATATTTTTCAATTTTTTAAGGTGTCCTCACAAGTTATCACCGAAAAAAGTGTCCTCACCGGAACCGGACCCGATATAACTTATATTAATCAAATTTCCTTTTAAAAATAAAAACTAGTGAGACCAAAAATACACTTTCTTAAACTATTATAAATGACCAAAAGTAGGGGTGTAAACGAGCCGAGCCGAGTCCGAGCCTGACCAAGCTCGAGCTCGGCTCGAGAACAATTTAGTGGGCTTGCGAGCCTAATCGAGCCTCTATGTGTGTGTATGTGTGTGTGTATATATATATATATATATATATATATATATATATAGGCTCGTTTAAGCTCGTTTAAGCACGCGAGCACATTAACTGAAGCTCGGCTCGAACTCGTTTAATAAACGAGCCTAATATTTAGGCTCGAGCTCGGCTCAGACTCGTTTAATTCGATCTCGAGTCGAGCTTTTAACGAGTTGATCCCGAGTAGCTGAGCTTACTTACAGCCCTTTTCAAAAGCCTAATTAAACAGTTTGCTGTAAATTAAAATGATAATATAAGTATGAAATACAATTAAAAATTTTCAAATAAAATAACTAAAAAAATAAAAGAAAAAATAGCAAACAAACCCTAAAAATACCACTGTTTCTACTTACATAAGCCCTACGACACAACACAACACCAAACGGGCAAAGTGAGGCTTGCTACTGTTACAACAGCAACGAGGCGACGCCGATAAATTTCTTGATTTTCTCGATTCAACCTATTTCACATCTGGTAAGCTCATGCGATATATTTCTTGTTTGGCAGCAGCTTAGATAAAAGTTTTGTTTTCAGATCTGAAATACAAAACACAAACAGGATCTAAGTTGAATTTGTGTTATAATGGTTTCAGGTATTACGACGCAATGTTTACTGCGATTCCAAATTGATTGGTGGCTGATCTATTGTGTGTGTCAGAGAGATGACTAACGGCTGCTTGTAAACTTGTATCAGATCTGGCAAAGTTGTACGCTGACTAAAACAGATCTATTATCAACTACTTCAATCTCTGTCTTTGTAGCTTTTACTTTTGTTTCCTATTTTTGTTCGACCATCAGAGCTGTGTCATATAAGAGAGTTTGAACAGCTTAAATAACATTTTAAGCCAGAGTGTCCGCAACAAACAACTTTTGGTGCAGATATTCAGATCGGTAAAGGAGGACTAGGGGGTCCATGGTTGATTTTAAATGATTAGTTGTTGAATCTGGGCAAGGAAGCCCTGGGTTTTTGAAGATAATAGCAATGCTTTCTCTTTACAAACATGAAAGTTCGGTTCATCTTTACATGGTTTTAAAGTTTTGTGATGCAAAGATCGTTGTCCATGAATACATATCTCAGAGAAGTCCACACTTGCATGTCACTAGTAATGATCTAGTGTGGACTCAAAGCTTGAAGATATGCATTGAGGCTTGTGGGTTAGCCTACCTTCATAAATTTGTCAAAACTGTAAAATAAAATATTTTACCGTGATATTAAAAGTTCCAACATCTTGTTAGATGAAAATTGGAATGCCAAGATCGCAGATTACAGCAACCAACAACTTTGCTGTAGCGATATTGCACGTGGATTAGTCGGAATGTACACATCTAATTGTGTATGAGTATGCATCTAAAAGAAGTCTAAACTTGCATCTCAATAGCAAATGATCTAGGGTGAAATTAACGTTTGAAGATAGTCATAGGGATGACTAGTGAGTTAGCTTATCTTTATAATTTTGTATATACTTAACTTAAAGTATTGTATTCCGACCATTCTATTAGATGAAAATTGGAAAACGAAAATCTACAGAACTTGGTTTGTCCAGATTTATTAATGCTAATAAGTTCGCATTTTTTTTTACCATTTTGGATATCAAGATTCACCGAGAGTCCGATGTTTACTATTTTGTTATGGTGTTGTTTGTGTGGGATGTTGTATATTGGCAACAATGATTGCCATCCTTTAACAGGATTGATGCAACAAGGCTGCAAACTAAACAAAATGAATACAATTATTTTTTGTAATATATGGGATGAAATAAACTTAACTCTCCCAGAGTTTTTACAACAATAGCTTGCTTATCGATGCATGAAAAAGAGATCATGAAGAATTATCAAGAGTTTTTACAACGATAGGTTGCTTATCAATGCTTGAAAGAGAGATCATGAAGAATTATCAATCAGTATATGTTATTGTGGGAATGCTTGAAACTGCACTCAATGATCAAGTAAGTTTATATTTCATTACCAACAATATATATTTCATTGTACCCTTTCTTTAGTGTTTGGTTGAGAACAAGGAGTCATTCGACACACATATTTGAGTTTAAGTCTAAAGGGTACTAGCCTACTAAAATATCTGCTCATTTTTATACAAGCTAACAGAGTGTTGTGGCGGTTATTATTGTGCATGAGATGATGTTTTGGTTTAGAAACCCTAAAGAAGAAGTTTGGGTTCTCTATTGGTTCTTGAACTCTAGTTTCAAGATGGACTTGGTCATTTAAAATACTTGTTGGGTATAAAAGTTTTGCAAAAACCTAACACAGTGATCCTTACCCAAAGGAACTACTTATTGGGTATAAAAGTTTTGAAAAATATAATTTAGTTAACAATGTTATTTATTTTTAATCCCAAGATATTCTGCTGAAGCAAGTTGCAAGTTTCATGTTGTCTTGCTTCTTTTTAGCAAGTTAGTATGTGTATATAAGCTTGCTGTAGCAGTACATATGAATACAGTTCTTAGAAAATTGCTTTAATCCCTTTCTTTCAAATAATGTTAGCAGCCAATACTTATTTTCTCTTTTTTCACTTGAATTATATTTTTTTTTCTAGTTCATACATTGTGGTGATTTTTCTCAATTCTCACAATCTTTTTAGTCTTAAGAACTAACATGCTTCATATATCCAGACTTCCATTTTATATATGATATTCTTAAGAATTGTATACGGGTCAGTCTAAGTTCCATTTCCTTGCCATACAATATATTTTTTTGTTTTAAGGCCTTAAATTCTGCACATAATTTGCTTACTAAAAGATATAATGTTTTCATCTTCTTTATAGTTTTCTAATTTTCTGAATTAATTCTCTTGTAGTGGTCTCCAAGTAGGTCTCTTTGTGCTGCAATTTCAAGCGATCATATGGGCTCACCTTCAAAGGACAAGTAAAGCAATTCAGTTCAGGCCTTTATTGAGATATTAAAGAAGTTTGTGCTTAAAAAAATCATGCCGACCCATTGAAGCTGATCAACCCATTGCACAAAGTTGGATTACTATAATTGAAGTCGTTAGAGTTAATTTGCAAGATCCAACAAGAGCCTATTGCAAACCCATTCGGATTGTTTTTTATTTTTTAATTTTTTTTTATATTATATTGTTAATTTTTGTTTTGCTCTCGTAAATAAATGTTAAGGTATGAAGGTTGCATATTGCTTGAACCTTGAGGGAAAGAATATCTAGATTCTTTGATTGAATTAAAGTTGCATCTTTGTTTCATGTTTTCAAGTTTGTCCCGGAAATTTGCAGAGTTTTGAAATTTAACTCAAAGGTATTTGTGAACTTTACAACTTATTAGGTTTCATTACATGTGACTTTCACAACTTAAAAAAAAGGTAAACCATAGAATCTAATCGACCCACGTCAATCTGTTCCTATGTCTATGTGGGAGGTAAGAGGCAGAACAGTAATAATATTTTGGACGTGCTAATTTCTTTTATACAAAGGTTATTGCATTGCATGTATGCAACTTGGGGGTGTTTGAGATTGTTTTTGAATATAAAAGTCTTTTTTGTAGAAGGATTTTTTGCAAAATCAGCTATTTAAAATGTGTTTGGATTAGCAAAATAAATTTTGGTGTAACTTTTACATGTAAAGTCACAAAAAAGTCATAAAAGTCAGGTTTTTATGATTTTTTGAAACCCATTCTTTTTCTCTATGTAAAAAGTCATTTTCAAAAGAACTTTTTTATTACTCAAACATCTTTTGGCTTTTTGATAAAGTTAACACGTCTTATCACAAGTTAACAAGGTTCCTACTAGTCTGTTTCAAATTTCAAAGTTGTTAAACTTTTCATATGTATTTCTTTACTTGAGTTCCTAAAAAATAACAACAAAGACCGCTCACAAAAAAATGAGAGAGAGAAAAAAAAAAGCCAACCACCAAAACGGAAAACATGGATAAGCATCGAGACTACATACTCCATTTTGGAACCGAAATTACCTTGGAATTGCAGGTCCATGATCAAAATCAATATGTTTAAATTAAAACATGGAACCAACACCCTAAACCTATTTCAGTTTTCTAAATTTTGGAACCCGGAACTAGAGGATATTTGGTAACAAGTCTTATCACAAGTTAACAAGGTTCCTACTAGTCTGTTTCAAATTTCAAAGTTGTTAAATTTTTCATATGTATTTCTTTACTTGAGTTCCTAAAAAATAACAACAAAGACTGCTCACAAAAAAATGAGAGAGAGAAAAAAAAAAAAGCCAACCACCAAAACGGAAAACATGGATAAGCATTGAGACTACATACTCCATTTTGGAACCGAAATTAGCTTGGAATTGCAGGTCCATGATCAAAATCAATATGTTTAAATTAAAACATGGAACCAACACCCTAAACCTATTTCAGTTCTCTAAATTTTGGAACCCGGAACTAAAGGATACTACTTTTCTTAATAAAAAAATTATTTTTAGTTTTTAACTTGTCAATAATTTAAAAGAAAGTTATCAACTTCAAATTTCAATTTTATAATTTTCAATCCAATAATAAGGAGCTCCAAAATTGTTATTTTATAAGGTTTTACCGTTCCGTTACATATTTGTCATTCCATCCGTAAGGCTCTAACTTTTTTTTTCCATAAAAGTCAATTTTTAGTTTTCAATCATAATAGTAGCATAAAACTTAAATTTCTAATCATAATAGTAGCTTAAATCTAAAATTTTCTATTACATATCAACGTTTTTTCCACTGGCACACCTTGGTAAGCTAGACTTGATAAAAAAACATCTTGAAATATGATACTAGTGGTTACTAAGTGAAATTTTGTCTCTTAAACATCTTTATCAACATTTAAGATCTTGAAATATCTAACTTTTTTCTTGTTTCTTGAATTTTATTGATATGAAACAAGCCGAAGAGTAAGGACAACACTAAGACCAAGTCAATCACAATTTGCAGTCGATAAGTACCCACGCTTCAACGTTCGACTATGGATAAGAAAGTATTTTGAGATTTATAGGAGCTATTTGTTATTTTTCAAATTCAAATGATATACTATAAATACAATATGAGGAGAAAGCACAAGGACACACGATCATATATCAATCATTTTGTACTCTCTTTAGCAAAACTTAATTGTAATCAAGTTCATGAATAAAAAGGTTTAAGGCAGGGTGACGATTGTCACTTCTTGAGGTTTTGTGCCGCAAATCTTCAAAGATCTAAGGCTTTCCTTATAAAATCTTGTGTTGTTCCTAACATTTTTATCTTTACATATCCAAAATTGTACAATAAAACATCACCCTTTTTCTAAATTGGTTGAATGACATCGGGTTATTTTTAAACAATTTGACGCCCACCGTGGGCATGTTGTAACGGACCGTATCTAGAATTTTCTGGAATACTCGAGAAGCTGTTGGACTATGCTAGTTTGACCCAGAATATCCTAGAGCATCCTAGAATTATCTAGGACATCGAAGACTTATCTTGATCCTTATAGAATCATGTAAACATGTAAATATCTACATAGATTATTCTAAAATAGTATTATATAAAGAAAGAAGTAGTAGCATCTAGAATATTCTGATGAGTATGTGTAATGACCCTATAAATAGGGGTGTAGCCATTTGTTCCAAGATCACCGGAAGTTGTCTTGTATTCCCTTGAATTCGTATAATAGAAGTTCTCTTTCGTTTGTAGTAATTCTCAATCCTTGTCTCTTGCTTTCCAAGTCGTTAGTACATTGTCGAGGAATCGTAGTAAGCCTGACTTAGTAGAAGAAACACTAAGTGACACATGGTGATCTAGTAGTCCCGTGACACGTGGTATCACAACATAGAGTTCGTGCAAGCAAGAGATTGTAGCCATGGAAGGAGGAAGTAATGAAGTAGCCAACATGCCCCTTATCGTCGGAGAGAAAGGAAGAAAGTATAAGAAGAGGGACCAATCGATAGACGCCCTGGCAAGCTTGGAAAACAAGCTTACAATGGTAGAGATTAATGTCAGTGCCATCTTTGAATGGAAGGATACCATCGAGCAGTCCATTGGTGATATTAACAACACGAGTGATGGAATGAAGGAGTCTTTCAAGATCATCAAGGAAGAAGTCCTTGGATTTATCAAAACCTTGCGAAGCGAGTTTCGCGAGAAGATAAGTACTTTGGAAGCTGAAGTAAATTTATGCAAGGCGGCTATTGCTGGAGGAGCTATTGTGAAATCCACACCACACACAGAAGCACCCAAACCGCTGAAGTATGGAGGTAAGTGTAATCCTAAACAACTCGATGAATTTTTTTGGTCCCTGGAATGCTATTTCAACGCTATCGGAGTAAAGGACGACAAGTCTAAGATAGACATGGCCGTCCTTTACTTATGTGAGAATGTCGCTCTATGGTGGAGGCGGAAGCATGGGGACATTGAGAAAGGTCTTTACGTCATAGATACATGGGAAGAGTTTAAGAAGCAACTCAAGAAGCAATTCTGTCCTCACAATGCTGAAGATGTAGCCATGAAGAAACTTTGAGGACTCAAGCATGTCATGTCAATTAAATACTATGTGGCAGAATTCACTGCTTTGATGCTCAAACTACCCGACCTATAGGAAAAGGATAAGTTGTTTTACTTCCAAGACGGACTATAATCTTGGGCTTACAATGAGCTCAAGACGAGGAACGTCCAAGATGTCGATGAATCAATAGCTGTGGCAGAAGACCTTATGGACTTTCGAAGAGATGCACTGGCCAGAAGGTCGAGTGGGGGAGATAAACCCACACCACGACCACCACAAAGGGAAGATAGGCCCGTTGCCAAACCCTCAACTTTCAAAGGGAAGGGGTTGAAGCAAGACCCCGAAAGGAGGTGAAGTGTTATCTATGTGACATACCTATCTAATCAGGGACTATCCAAAGAAGAAAAGCTTCAATGCCATGGTATTTGAAGATGGAAATGAAGAAGTCCAGTTAAGCTCAATGCGACTCCTTAACTCTGTAGCTAAAGAAGAAACTGAGATGGAATAAGGAAACATAAAGGGACGTGGTCTAATGTTTGTCAATGACAAGCTGAACAAAGAACATGTTAAAACCATGATTGACACATGTGCGTCTCATAACTTCCTATCCGAAAACGAAGCCAAGAAGATGAATATTTAATATACGAAAGAGATAGGCTGGTTGAAAGCAGTAAACTCTCCGTCCGAACCTATCCTTGGAGTTGCTCATGGAGTTCCGATCGAGATTGGAGGATGGAAAGGCACGGTCGATTTAACAATAGTGCCCATGGATGATTATCGACTAGTGCTAGGAATGTAATTCCTAGACGAGATACGCCCTTTCTCGTTCGAAGAACAAACCATGTGTATAACTAAGGGTTCGACAATACATATTATACCCGTAGAAAGGAACAAGACAGTGTCTCGAACCATATCAGCCATGCAACTTAATAAGGGACTCCGAAAAGGTGAAATGGCTTTCTTGGCGACACTCATAGAGAAAGACCACATGTCCCAAATAGAAGTACCCACATAAATAAAGAATGTGCTTGAAGAATTCAAAGATGTGATGCCGCCAGAGTTGCTGAAGAAGCTACCTCCTAGGCGAGAGGTAGATCATGAGATAGAATTGGAACCGGGAGCAAGACCACCAACCATGGGCCTTATCGAATGGCACCTCCTGAGTTGGAAGAACTTAGGAAACAATTGAAAGAGCTACTAGACGCCGGATTCATAAGGCCTTCAAAGGCTCCATTCTGAGCACCGATGTTGTTCCAAAAGAAGCATGATGGTAGCTTGAGAATGTGCATCGACTACCGAGCATTAAACAAGGTAACCTTGAAAAACAAGTACCCCATTCCTATAGTGGTAGAGCTTTTCGACCGAATAGTAAAGGCACGATGGTTCTTTAAGCTAGACCTGAGATCTGGATACTGGCAAGTATGTATCGCAACAGGTGATGAACCAAAGACGACATGCATAACAAGGTACGGATCGTTCGAGTTCTTAGTAATGCCCTTTAGATTAACCAAGGCAACTACCACATTTTGCACCTTAATAAATAAGATCTTCCATCCCTTCTTGGATAAATTCATTGTGGTGTATTTGAACGACATTGTAGTGTACTCAGAGTCGTTGGAAGAGCACATTGAGCATTTACGCTCAGTCTTCTGAGTATTCAAGGAAAACCAACTATATGTTAAGATGGAGAAGTGCTCCTTTGCCCAACCTGAAATATCATTTCTCGAGCATAGGGTTGTTGATGGAAGGATCCATATGGATGAAAGAAAAGTACAAGCCATCTCT